AAATGGGAATCGATATTGAAACTTATGTTTTAATATCGACTTGATGTTCAAACACGATTTATGTACTTTTCGCGACCGACTTCCGCTTTGACCTTGAGATAGAGAGCAAAATATCCGTATGCTTGACTATTACTGAATGTGATATATCTCTGAAGCTAATTAAGATAAAGAAGTGAAACTAACGCGAGGTGTTAGGTTACATTACAGAGTATATCACATATATTTTTTTATAATTTTTAGAATAAAAAATTACATTAAAAAAATAAAAATAAAAAAAAACATGTTATTTTTTCTGAGTTCTCTGTGACTTACAATCACGAAATTAATATATGTTATGCTCCTTTGTGTGCCCTATCACCCATAAAAATTGCGTGAAAAAAAAGTTGGTGCAACACAACGAAAAAAAATTATATGTGATTCGCGCCTTGTAGTGTGAGTGTATAAACAAACAAGTTCGAACTTGTTATCGAGCTGTTTACTGCATCGTTTGTTTAGCTAAAGTAGCAGTCATTTGTATTACACAAGAAGGCAGTTTGGGACTCAAATTCTGTCAAAGGTATTTTGTATCAGCATTTTGAAATTATTAACTATCGAACCAAATCATTATTAAGTAATAATGTCGAGAAAGTGTAAAAATTGTAACAAGTACCTGTGTAAGATTCCTGGTTATAAAAAAAATTATAAAGAATGAAGAAGAAGCTAAAGTGTTTACTGACTGTTTGAATAAAATCGTAATAGTTAATGATATTTTTTGTAAGAAGTGTCGACTTATCCCATATATTAACAAAAAAGCTTCTACTACTAAATGTGCAGCATTTAACTTGGCCGAAATAATGGACGATCAAAATAATCTCTCAGTACAATATGTGAAATCAGCACCTAATATCATCAAAGCAGAAGTAAAATCAAGACATATAAATATAAAAGTCTATCGAATTTACATTCACTATATTTCCGAAGGTAATGACTACAATAGTATTCTTCGCTATTGCTGTGATTGCCCCAATGGCAAACGTACAGTGGGATGCTGTTCTCATGTAGCAGCTATTATTTATTATCTATCATATGGATGATATTTGTCCAAAATCGTACGTCCTGCTGAGGTCCTAACTAAGTTATTTGCGACTCAAAGTGTTCCGATTGTAATTAATTATAACAGTGGCGATGATTAATATTTTGTTTCTTGTATTTTGATAGACACGAAAAAGTAATAATAATAAGTATTGAACACTGGGTGTTTTTTTTTTCATTTCTTTTTTAACTATTATCCCATCTCTTAAGACTAGTTACTTATGTTTTAAAACAAGCTGATGTGAAATTTCGAAAAAAAAAAATCAATGATGTAATGTGAAAACCTTATAATACAGGGGGTATACCATAAGACAGAAATCACATATAATTTTTTTTCGTTGTGTTGCACCAACTTTTTTTTCACGCAATTTTTATGGGTAATAGAGCACACAAAGGGGCATAACATATATTAATTTCGTGATTGTAAGTCACAGAGAACTCAGAAAAAAAAACATGATTTTTTTATTTTTTATTTTTTTAATGTATTTTTTTATTCTAAAAATTATAAAAAAATATATGTGATATACTCTGTAATGTAACCTAACACCTCGCGTTAGTTTCACTTCTTTATCTTAATTAGCTTTAGAGATATATCACATTCAGTAATAGTCAAGCATACGGATATTTTGCTCTCTATCTCAAGGTCAAAGCGGAAGTCGGTCGCGAAAAGTACATAAATCGTGTTTGAACATCAAGTCGATATTAAAACATAAGTTTCAATATCGATTCCCATTTGGGGGCCGACTCGTCATACGTATCCGGCTAAACCCTTTGCAGGTCATCTGCATACAAATGATGAGAGCTGACAAGAATAAAGGAAATTGAATTAATGAAAATCGAAAAGAGTTGGGGAGACAAAATGCCGCCTTGAGGAACGCCTGCAGATAAGCTGCACCAATCAGACAATCCATATTTAGAATGTACCGCCTGCTGACGTTCCCGAAGATAAGACGAAAACCAATCTAGTTCAGGAGATGAGACTCGCAAATGTGAAAGTAATGCCAGGAGAATATCATGATCAACAGCATTAAAAGCGTTGGAGAAATCAATGAGAACTAACACTGTTTAACGTGACATCTCCATGCCATCACGCAAGTCCTCGGTCACTTTTAACAAAGCTGTAGTAGTACTATGACCGCGTCTAAAACCTGATTGATATTGATCCAGGATTCGGTTACTAGCGATATAAGCAGATAGTTGATGATGTACGGTGGCTTCCAAAATTTTTGACAAAAATGACAGGATAGAAATTGGCCTCAGGTGATCAAGTGTAGTTGGATTATTCACCTTGGGCAGTGGCGCAACATATGCCTTGCACCATGCTTTCGGAAAAACCCCAGACGAGAGAGAGTCATTTATTATATACGTGATAATAGGAAGAACGCTATCTAAGAGTGAAATGATCATGTGCCTGCTTACACCATCACAACCGATCGCCTTCGATTTTATGGACATAATGATTTTGCGAATCTCAGAAGCCGTTACCAGAGAAAAAGAAAAAGAATTAGTGGGTTGATTGCACAGAGAAGGAATAAGATTAACTGCTTTTGAGATGTCCGTGAGAAAAGAAGAAGAGTTGGCTGAAAAATGTTGATTAATATCATTGAGAGAATAGAAATGAGGGAGAGAATTACTTCTGGACTTAAATAAACCAAGAGATCTAAGGAATTTCCAAGCATCAGCTGGAGACGACTGAATGGTGTTATCATGGAAATAACGGCGTTTGGCAGCTCTCACCATCTGGTTACAGCGGTTTCGCACAGATTTGACATAGACCCAATTATAGTCCGTTCTACGTATGTCTCTTAAACTTGTGCAAAGCTCTGTCGCGTCTCCTCATCGCCACACGCACCAAAGGAGTAATCCATGGGGCTGGCGGTTTTTTAATCTTAACTACACGTATTGGTGCATGCCTATCATAAAAATCCAATAAAATATTATTGAAGGTTTTCACTTTTCCCCCAGTGTCACATGCAGAAAGAACATCAGACCAGTCGAGAGCAGATGCATCCTGTGCCAATTTATGCAAATCAAGACGCGCGAAATTTCTCATTTTTATCAATTCAGGTGTACGTTTGGGAAGTTTTATTTTATAAAAAAGATAAATCAGGTCATGTCAGGAGAAGCCCGGAGCTGGAAACTGGCCATGGTGGGAAACATGAGCTGGAGAGGAAACAAGGATATGATCGATCCATGAGTCATTAGTATCAATATTATGATGTGTGACTTTCAGCTCCAGAAAAGAGAAATTGTAGGACTCGACAACTGATCGAAAAGAACGAGAGGAAATACTGTCTTTCAAAAGATCAGTGTTAAAATCACCCATGATGATGTGATGTGTGTAGTCAGCTGCAAGTGCATCGAACACGG